TTCATGTTACGGTTAGTTATGCAAATATACGTCAACTAGTCAACTGTTATGAATCTGAAAACTGTACACACCTCCGCAACTTTTGATGCTTCATAAATTTTAAATGAGACATTCTTTGGAGCATTGTTCTCATGTATGGGCTCCACCTCCAAATATTCCCTGAAGTTGCTGAACTCCATCCAGAAAAGAGCCATCTGCCTGATTGAAGACGCGAACATCACGTGCATCCTTGATCTGTTTTAAAATGTTTTCCGTTAATCAGCTGTCGCCCCCATATGAACGACAAATCTCAGAAGTTGAGAAACTTGTGCGAGCTAAGGACTAACGAGGTCTCACCTTTCAACATGTGATTCCACGGTTGCAGAATCATCCCCGCTTCAATCAGGCTTGATAGCTTGGAACATTGAAGGAAAGTTGGAGATATGTCTCTCTTTTATTGATACTTTCACGAGAGGTGTTCAAGCGACTTGGCACACTTGATTCCACCAAGAGCGGTGCATATCAGAATTACGCGACGGACTGTGGCTGTTCATCATTTTAAAGTTCTACTCACTCACTCACTCACGAATTTCACTGTTTCACAACTATGTCATCTGGAGAACTTTGTTTATGTGAAATAAACTTCCAGAGAACTTGTTTCCAAATGTGAATTACTATTTTCGCACAGACACCGCTCTGAGAGCGCCTTAAGGATTTTTCTGTAGTGCTTGTGTTTTGTCCTTAAAAAAAAGTACTCTTTTTCTTCTGTTCAGTCATAACATACATTTTCATAAAGCAGTTTTGTTCAGTCATATAGTGTAATGTAACATTAAATGAGGGAGTGAGGTACGGGAAGAGATACCTACATACTTTCAGTAATATCATACTCAGAATCGATGAGTTTTGTTTATATGTCTGAAGAGACTAATGTAACAAGTCGTAGACAGGTTTAAACTTTGAACCGATACCGATCCTGTGAGTGAAGGATGAAGTTTTGAAATGTAGTGGTGATTCAAATCAAATTTGTGGAAATAATCTATCTGAATAACTTTCAACTTTCAAGTTCTGTCAGGCAATATTGTTGAATCATAGAGTGTAGCTCTTAAATCGTCAAATATTAAGATCATAGGATCACAAACCATAAATCATCCTAGAAGACATTCGATCATAAAAAACATCAGGACCACTCTAATAGCATACAAACAGGAATAAATTGTAAACAAGGAATGTATATCGCTGCATCGAATAAAATAGGTCTGACATGGCTACTGCTGGAGACTGCCGGAAAAACGAGTATCAAGAATCAGAGGAGTTTTTGGAAATTGAAACTCCATCAGAAGTTCTGAGGTTCAGTTCATTGAACCCCAGAAGCCTGTATTTTGTTAGTATTTCTATCTAGGCCATCATTGGAAAAAATATATTTTCAACAATTGATACTCTGATTTCTTTACAAAGTGACTATTCATTTGGTCTACAATGACAAGTATTTCTAGAAACTTTTGTAGATGGCGTATAAAAGAGAGCTTTCAATTTGGTTACCTTTTTCAGCACCAATAATGGAAATTCTATTAAAATCAAGAAACGACCCTGCCTTCGAACTTGCGAATCAAGGGCTAGTCATTTCAACTGGCCCCATGTGACGCTTTCTTGCTCCCAATAAAAAAACTAGTAAGGAAACGTTATACAATAAAACATGAAGAGAAGTAATTTTCGTGAAGAACTCCAAGCTACTCCAAGCGGCTACCTGGTTAACCTTGCGATTCGTTTCGCGTATGATAATTTGAGCAATATCTTTGATGATCAGAGAAAGAAACATTCGAAGCAAATCATATATCATCTTTTTCTTTGGACCTGGTTTATTTTGTTTGTAGTTGATCATGTAATGAGTACGTATACGACTACTCAGTGGAGGATCTTTGTAGCATTTCGTACCATTTTTTGGAATAAAGTAAGTCGCATCAGTCTTGGTCTGAGGAAGATCAGCAATGGTTGCAATTGATTTACATCGATTTATATCTTTTCTTCAACTTCAACATCGGACATATCCCTATCATATTCTGGCCGATACGTAAGCTCACTGTCATCGATAGGGTCACTATTGTCACCCATTCCAGCTTCGATACAAGCCCGACATTTTGCATCAGCGATACGTTTTTTATACTCAGTTAAACGCTGGTAGCGGTTTACTCATCAAGCGATGGTCTCAAATTGGCTGGTTCCTGTGTCAAACACACATTCAATATTTTTTTCCACACTAACCTCTTTCTTATATACAGGGATACTCAAATTCGTTCCTGTACATGGGGATCTCGTAAACGATAAGATATAGAGTGTCGGTTAAATTGTGGCAAAGTTGCGTATTTTAGAGACCTATTCAATGATATGAAAAAATCGAATGAAGTTCTGGAGATATACAGGAATAACAAAAAATTACCCAAACTATTTATTTGCCTATATCTTCTTTATTNAAAATACGCAACTTTGCCATAATTTAACCGACACTCCATCTCTTATCGTTTACGAGATCCGCATGTACAGAAACGAATTTGAATAGACCTGTATAAGGTCTATAAGTTCCTTGTACCTGCGTTTGAGTCGAAAATGGCTTAAAACAAAAGAAACAATGGAACCGGAGATTGAATTGGGTTGAAACCTGTTTTAATCGATTCAGCATGTTGTTTTTATGGGATACACGTAGTGACACGTTTCTAGCGCATGATAACAAAAAATGATGACCTAACAAATATTGTACTGATCGGAGAGTTATCGGAAAAAGAGACTTCAAACAGATTTCTCAATACAAAAACAACCAACAGCCAAACCGAGCTCATCTATGAAATACTCAATCTGTTCGTCGTTCATAAGCTGACGGAACAATTAAATCTAACGTGCATCTGTGATATGTTCAAATACAAAGTGCATACTGCAGTACAACACCGCATCAGACCAGAATTAATGTTCCCGAACGAGGAGTGCAGAAGCGGGAAGTAAACGAAAATTTATATCTGACACAGACCAGTTTTAAGTGTTTTTACGACCGCCTAAATGACTATATAGCAACTATTTTTTGAAAGACACAGATTTTTCTTCATTTCGTGTTAGAGTTCGTAACGAGGATGAAACGTTGATGAACATAGTATTTTGAAGTAGTCTTTTATGCAATCTCGTTAACGACTGAATAAATTAATATTCACCAACTAGGTGCGTTTCTGAATTTTACTTTTCAATTTCTATGACATGTGGACTTTTCTGCCCTGAGCCGAATATTATTATTGTTGATGTTATTATTGTTGATGCCTTTTCAATAATTTCATAACACTCTGTAATTTGTGTTTTTCTGCTAATTTCAGAACCGACAACTTTTGAACTCATGAAAAGCGTTACTTGGATCTTCCATTTTTGTTATACTGAAAGGATTACATATTTTCATTAGTTGTTGCCGCGGCTTCGCCAGCGTATAATTTGGTTTGTCATATCTAGTTTCGTGACAGAGCATTTCAAACAAATAGTTACAATATTTTTTATTAACCCAAAACTTCAGGTTTCTGAATTCAAAACTGACGAAATTCGAAATAAAGGGGTACAAAAGGGATACAAAGAACCTTTCTGCATATTTCAAGATTATAGGTTCAGTAGCTTCGGCTGTATGTTAATATGAGAGCGAACAACAGCTATTAATTTATAGTTTTAATTTAGTAACTGAACAAAATATTCCAACTGCTGTAAGTAATGAATAGTTTGAGAATCACATTATGTTATCTATAATGAAATTCGCAAAACTAACACAACCGTCAACGACATCTGCCCTCACGCGTCTGCCCGTGTTCGGGTCACGTTCTCGGCGATGGCGCTTCATTGCTTAGACCACCCCTCTACCCTCGCTCATCGTCCCCCGCCGTCTTTCAGTAGACGCGACGCGTAACGACTTACTACGTTCTTATCGTGATAACTTTTGAATGATTCGTCTAAATTACTCAGTGTGAAAGACAAAGATAATCTATATTGAATACTTTAAACGATAATGTATACATTTCATAAGAATTTGATAGATATTCCAAACTGTGCATTGTAAAAAATATCCAAGTTGATTGTATTTATGGCTCTGTATTTTGCTTATAGTGGCTACCACATGAAAGGTTACTTCGATTATTTTAACTTTACCGATACGTCATCGTTGATGTGCATATGAAATAAATCGCGAAATTGTGGTCGAATGTGGCTAATATACCGATAAAAATCATAACGTGTAGGTAATGACAATAAATTAACATTTTCGAATTTATGGAAATGTCGGATCTTCACACATTTTAATGACTTGTTTTTTATTCAACTGAACGTACCTACCTATCACAGTGAATATCAATGACATAGAAATAGACACGTCAGAGAGTCAGCATGATACTTGGTTACATATTTCATGTTGTAAGAACAACCTGAAGATACAGGTTGATATATCTATCTATCATCACATTTTGATAGGATAATGAAACATGGAGGCAAAGATATGTTTATAAAATTTCCTCATTTACTAGAAACTTTTAACCACTCCCACTCATCTAATTTCGGTCACACTAATAAAATATACAAGAAATTCCATCAAATCACAACAACCTCAAAAGTTAGTTTTTATGTAGATGTGACAGTTATAGATACAAGTGAACCTTCAAATGTTAAAGAAAAATATATTTGACAATAAAGTTTGACTAGTTAACTTATTATCATACATCCAAGGCTTTTCCTGATACAGTTGTGACTGATGAAAATGGGGGATTATGTTTGTTTAGAAATTTTTCTCACTAGTCAATGTCGCTTCTAAGTCACGTGCATTGAATGAAATCTGCTTTCTTCATTGGTTAAAAATGACATTTGTCAAAATTTAACCAATGGTGTAGCTAGAATTAGAAGTCCCGGCGCAACACACTCAAACAGAAAACACGTGAAATAACATTTTTATCATATAGACATCTGAATAGTCAATTTGTACCGTCTTTCCTTCACCATGTATTAAGAAGGTGTATTCAGTCTTTATACATATCGTACAGAGTATTTCGTACTTCCATTTTCTGCCCTTCAGGTAAATCAGATGTTTTCTTTTTGATACGATGTCTACTTTTTCCTGGAGTTGATGGAATGGGTTTGTGTTTATTTCTTTGTTTGATGTTGAACACCGTTTTTTGAGATATTTTATGTGCATCTGCAACTCTCTAAAATACAGTTAAGAAAAGTTATGACATTTCTTTCATGATTTTAATGATTACCTCTTGAACAGATAAAAATGGTAACAAAGGTCCTCCAGGCGCTCTCTCTCTTTCAAAATATTCGCACAAGTTCAACAAAAATTATTGTGTTTGTGAATTAAGAATACTTCCAGGTACATGTTTTTGGCATGACTTCATAGATTTAATTAATGTTATTTCTCTCAATATTGTTTCCACACTCCCAATTACTCTTGTATAATATCCCGGTAATGTGGAATTATAGTCACAAATATCAGTTGTGAGGTTGGAAATATTGAAGAATATTTATGAATAAAACACATTGTATTGTACTTACTTTGAAAGTAATGATGCCAAAAGACGTTTAGCTTTGAAAAAACTATTTTTTAATATATTTGACTGCAAAATACTGTAAAACTGACGGAAACAATGGCCAATAACATAAAACAATGATAATGTCAACTGTCAAATGTAGGCAAATGGAGGTAAATTGTAGAACACTGTCGGCTGTCTGGTTCTCTCTTTCCACTGTTATGAGTATTAATTGATCATCACTATAACATAAGTCTAACAAAAATTCTTTGAGATACTCTGAAGAGAATAGATCTGGCCGATACTTGATGAAATTCCATATTCAAACTTATTAATTTCATTCCAGTGACAAAACACAATCACTACAGAAAAATCCCTAAGGCGCTCTCAGAGCGGTATCTGTGCGAAAGTTTAAAAATATGTTTATGTTTCCTCCGTTAACCAGGTATCGCACCCCTACGAACGATAACACTCAGACGTCGAAACTTGTGCGAGCTAGGATCTGTGTGTACTGAGTTGAATATTAAAACGATGAGATGAGCAGCCACAGTTCATCGCGTATTTCTGATATGTACCGCTCTTGGTGGAGTCGAATATGCCAAGTCACTTGAACACCTCCCGTGAAAGTATCCACAGAAGAGAGACAAATCTCCAACCCTTCTTCGATGTTCGATGTTCCAGGTTATCAAGGATGCACGTTATGTTATTGTCTCCAATCAGATGGCTCTTTTCTGAATGGAATCCACCAACTTATGGGTATGTTTGGGGGCAGAACTCCATACATGAGAACAATATTTCAAAGAAGGTCTGAGTTTTCTGGTTCGGAACAGTGTTACGAGCATTTGAGAAGCAGCCTTTGCAATTTCAGAGACATGATTATGCCAAGACATATTGGTGTCTATTTTAACCCCCAACAAACTTATTGAAGCAGAAAGCGGAATTGTCTGACCTGACATTATTATATCCGGTTCGGAGACATTTATCTTCTTAGAGAAAACCGACGCCTGGGTTTTTGTGGCATTGAATTGAACCTGGTTTCTTTCACCCCAATTCTAAATCACTACTAGATCCTCATTAAGATTTGCAACCTCTTGCTGCCGGTGAAGATGTGCCTTCGTAGCCGATGTAGTAGAATCCAAATGGAATGAGGGAACAAGTGTGCTGTCGTCAGCAAAGCAATATATTGGATTCTTGGTTTCATTCATTATCCGTTCATAAGTCGTTAATATACAATAAAAAAAGGGTTGGAGACAATATGGATCCCTGGGGAACACCAGCGTTGATGGTGAAAGTATTCGAGAGATATCCATCGACTGACACTTGCAGGAAACATTCTTTCAGGAAGTCATACACAGATATGAAAGCCATAGCATCAAATTTAGGCCAGCAAACCCTCATGCCACACACGATCAAAGGCCTCAGAAATATCAACCGCAACAACTCTTGATTCTCCCGATTGCGTTATTCCAAATATGAATGTCATAAAATAGAAAGTTGCCTGTTTATCTTTGTTCTCGAAAGCCATATTGATGTTCCCTCAAGATGTTGAAGCCTTCTAAATATTTGTGGATATGGCAGTTCACGACTTTTTCCGCGATTTTTGATATCACTGATAGCAAAGCGACCGGTCTATGATTATTTGGAAGATAATACAGTTTATTGTATAAATGAGTTTTGAATATATTCTCAATCAAGTGAAATCCGTCAGTTGATAATAGAATTTGGTTGACATGAAAGATTGCCGCGAGATTAACCCACCTATATTTTTCGAAATTTATTTATTCTTGGTAATCTGCATAATTATTAGGTTGTTTCAAATATTTTCTTCGTTTCAATGTCATGTGTTTTCATACTTCCATATCTCAATGAATATTCATTCTACTGTATCTTACTGTCTTACTGTGTATACTGTTTATAGTGATCGATAGAGAATTTTGTTATCTATACAATGATGTTGATTTTTTTCCAAATTAAACCAAGCGGTGCCGAAACAGCCCGAAAAATTAACCAATCGTTTGGCAGTGATAGTGTTTCGATCCGAAAAAACGAAGATTTGAAGACCCTGGTGGGACCCTGAGCCATCACACACGGTACATGGAATGGCGAAAGAACTGAGCGTCAGTTTCCATGCGACTTCTGGTGGTTTGGAACGTATTCAAAAGGATAAAGATCAAAAAGTGAGTGCTCCACTATTTGAATGATCCATAGAAATTGTCACGTTTCGAGGTCTCTGCTTTTGCGCAACCATATCGAAGATGAGTGGACCCTCTACGACAACAGGAGACGTTGAGGAGAGTTGTTGGGACATCCCAAAGGCGAAAATCCACCGAAAAACATCATGGTTACTGTATGGTGGTAAGCAGATGGTGTGATACACTCTTAGTTTCTGCAACCAGGCCAAACCATCACAACAAAGTCTCATTATGAGGATATCGACGGAATGAAACGAAAATTGCGGCAGCAGCAGTAGTCACACTGGTCAACAAAAGAGGCCCCATCTTGCTTCACAACAACGCCCGTATTCACGTTTCACAAATTATCGTGCGAAAACTGAACGAATCAGTACCGAGTACCATCTTTTCGAGCACTTCAATGACTTTCTCAGCGGTAGAACCTTCGCCATTCAGGACCTCCGTCGACTTCATCGAATCCCGAGCACTCATTTCTGATACTGACGAAATTGATCAACTTGTGTTACGTTGACGAAAATGGATTGATTCAAATAACGCTCATTTCGATTAAATTGAATTAGCATTCTCTAAAATATTATAGTTCAAAGTAGAGTCATCAAAACGGACAAAACTTTTGAAACATCCTAAAAAATCCCACAACAATCTATTATATAACATAAATGAAATGATTGCCATTCTATAAATTTCCTGCAAAAAAGGAAATGAATAATATCGGTTAAACATTCCGCATGTTACTCAAGAAGCTGGTAATATTCAGAAATTCCCCTAAAATTTATTTATTGCTGGAAAATTGTTCCTGTCGAAGTGAGAGTTGCAACAATATTGCCATGCGACCGTTGTACTTTTGTTTCCTCGAATATCCTTTCTTACTATTCCCAAGGCACGGGAAGACCTCCGGAAACTTTTCGTTTTTCCTATTTTCACGTCGACTTATCTCTGCGACAAAGTTCTCCTCCATAAATCGATGTATGCGGTATGGTTGAGTTCGATAAGAGTATTAAACCTGTTAATTTCCAATTTTGCTGCCAAGATTTCGATAGAATCCACACCAAGATTTTGCCCGAGGAATATGCAGCCAGAGAATTTCAATATTGCGGAAACTGTGACAACGCAACCCGAAGTTTTAAGCTCCAAAAACTCTTCTAGAACTTTCGTCTTATCTTTGAAGTCGGTTATAGGATGACAAAGAACATATTGAAGTTTGTTCCGGGTGGCAGGTTTAATTTTGTGACGTTTTGGTATTTGCTCGTATAAGAAGGGGGAGTTTCATGGTCAACAGCGAAGGTGGAAATATAAGTTTTACCGCCTGGAAATAATTTAATTGCACACTATTGCTATCTTGGTAACAGTAGAAAAAACGATATTGGGTATATTAACCATAAATTACATTTCAGAATGCTATGGAATTGTATTACTGGAGTTTTTTCCCAAAACCAAATCGTTATTTTAACACCTCGACACGTGTTAACAACAAATGAGAAAATTTTTTATTATCGATTTCTCAGAAAAAATTTTTCCTGACAAAAGTTGGTACATGTTCCAAAACTATACCAAGTGTACCTGAAATGGCTTTATGACAAACACCATACAGGATAGGCCAAAAAATATGAAGTTCGTTCAGGAGTAAAGTACCCTTATTTCAAAAAATATAGAAATATGTTANGTTCATGGCTATCCGCGATAGATTTTGGATTGTTTTTTAATATCTGTTCTAGTTGAGGCATTGTTGTCAGAATAAAAGAAATTTTATACTTTCATTGACAGTTTATTCATATGAACATTCAGTTAGTAAAGTATTTGCCTCGTTGAAAAAAGTATTTGTTTTATTCTAGAGTTCTGTTAAATATCGTTGCAACAAACATGAAGTTGACGGTCACCTAAAAAATACAAATCCAAGTAAATTTTACAAATACACTTCAATTTGATAAAAAATATTCCAAACTGATCTGATTGTGGCTACTTCAAATACATATTGAATCAAAATAGTGAAAATATGTATCATAAGGGGATAATTCAAAATTTTCCAAAATAAAAAAAATCGAATAGCAGGCCATGACTTCGTATCTGAACATAATTTTCAATTCTAAGCAACTTTTCACCTCAACATATTTCTATATTAATTGAAATAAGGGTACTTTACTCCTGAACGAACTTTATATTTTTTGGCCTATCCTGTATGGTGTTTGTCATAAAGCCATTTCAGGTACTTTCGGTATAGTTTTGGAACATGCACCAACTTTCTTCAAGAATAAAATTTTCTGAGAAATCGATAATAAAAAAGTGTCCCTTTTGTTGGACACTCCTTGGACCACATGTATATAGTATAGTTGATTATTTATCACTACGCAAACAGGTAACCAAAATAAAGGATTCAGTGTCATCATCTCGCGATGTCATTTTCGGAGTACCTCAGGGAAGTGTTTTGGGACCTATATTGTTTTTAATCTTCTCCCTGAATGATATACCATCCATGGTTGTGATTTCATGAACCTTTTTGCAGACGACACTTTGTTATCAATTTCATCATCAATACATTAATCGCAATAAACTAAAACTCAACATCTCCAAAACTAAATATGATCTTATCAACTGGTTATAAGCA